TTTTCTTTTCTTTTTCTCTTTTCTTTTCTTTTTTTTTTTTAAAAAAGCTTATCTATCATAAGGCACTGAAAAGGCACTAAAAAGACGCCCTAAAAAAAGACGAGCTACCAAGAGACGATCTAGAAGGTAGCCAGGTTGTCACGGGATAATTTCAACAATAGATACAAATGAGTACGTAAGAAATTGCTCAGGCACGCCTCTGATTTGATAATGATGTTGCTTGTCAAACTTTCGAAAGATGTTTTCGATTTATTAGCGGCCCCCCAATTCCAGAGGGCCCAGAGATCAAGTCTGAGTGGGAAGTCGGTGGGGATGCGTTGCAGCCGAAATGCTACGGTAATACTTCAGTCCGTCTCAATCAAATAGCCAGTCAATCAGAAGCCAGTCAATCGACAGCCAGTCAATCAGAAGCCAGTCAAGCGACAGCCAGTCAACCGATAGCCAGTCAGTCAATAGGCAATCAATCGATAGCTAGGCAGTCAATAGCCAGCTAATCAACAGCCAGTCAATCAGCAGCCAGTCAATCAAAAGCCAGTCAATCAACAGCCAGTCAATCAACAGCCAGTCAATCAACAGACTTCGCTTAATCGACAGCTGGTTAATTAGCAGAAGCGAGTCAATCAGTAGCCGGTTTAATCAGTAGCCGGTTTAATCAGAGCCAGTTAATCAGCAGCCGACTGGTAGCTTTCAGCTATTCACTTATGTATGAACCGGCTCCGGGAGCCGGCTCCGAGAGCCGTCCTCTTCTTCTCTCCTCCTTGAAGCAAATCTAACGAAAATAAGGAGGAAAAAAAAAATTAGCAGAAAATGGAAGAAAATGGAAGAAAGAAACCAAATCATTCACGCAGTCTCTCATCCATCATCGCTTCATCGGGGGGCCTGCTGGCCTGGGTTGACCCCGCGTGCCGCCAACGGCCCCCGCTTGCTCCCGACTCATGGCCCGCAGGATCGTTCCGGTCGTGGACCCTGGTCGTGGTCCGTGCGGCCGCAAAGTCGGCGTCGGCGAATATGGACCTGGAGCCTGGAAATTTTGGACGGCGTACCCTCTCTCGACCGAGCCTGTTCTCTCGTATTGCACTGTGTTATAGCGTTGACCGCCCGATCTCTGGTCCCCACTGCGGCGTGGCCGAACAATACGAAAACGTCAGTAATTAAAGCTGGTTCCGTCGGTACAGTTCTGGAATGCTTGTATTACACAAACTACAAATACGGAGTGCAACCCGCGCTCGACTTTGTGATGTCTGGATATAATTTCCAAGTCAAAACTAAAGGTAATCATGTTTTTTCATACTTTCAACTCTTTCGTTGCCGTGCTGGCATTACACACCAGCATCGTGTCGTCTCAAAGCCCTATAACGTCCCTCAAGAGCCGCCGCCTCACAGAGTACCAACTTCCACCCGCCGTCCAAACACACGAATTTGCGCGCGTCCCTGGCACAGACTTTGTCTTTTTGTCGCAAATGTCCGACAGCGTACTCCTCAAAATCCAGCTCGACCCCGTCACCGAGGCTCCGATTGCGTACCAATCCTTCCCCATGGGCACCTCCAGCCAGTCCGGCCTCCATGGCATCTGGCCGTCGACTTTGTACCCCGGGAAAATGTGGATGACGCTTCAAAATGAGAACAAGCTGCTCCTTGTGAAACCTGGCTGTACCCTCACGTCCCCTCCGTCCATCATCAAGACGATTGATATTCCGGCGCCGGGGAACGGCCCGCATTGCGTGTTTGAGATTGACGGCCGCGTTTGGGCCAGTCTCAAGGACCCGTCGAAAGAAACGGGTGGATACTACGTCTTCTCAGCCAGCATAAACAACACGGCAGACTATACGTTGTATCCGTGCCTCAACAGCCCAGTGTTTATCCAACAAGACCCGACGACCAAACTCATCTATGCTACCCAAGACACCGACTCGTCTATTATGCGCATCAACCAAACGAGCGGAGAGACGGACCAGCTGCCGATTCCGCCCAGCATCGGCAGCACACCGGTTGGAATGACAACCGTCGCCTCAGGTCCTCTGGCCGGAGTGTGGTTCAGTCTCGCGGGTAATTCCACCGGCGGTTCAGGCACCTTTGGACGTGTTGCCCCCACAGGCGAGCTGCAATTCTTCCAGCTCCGAGCGCCGCAACTGGGTGCTAGCTCTGGCTTGCTCCACGTTGCGGACGCTTCGACGGAAGAGGGTGGCCCGGCGCTTTGGCTGCTCTCCACGTCGCTACTCAGCAGGCAGTCTCCTGATGCGCTGATTCGTGTGACGTTTGACGAGGCTGTCACCTCCGTCACCGGCGAAGAGTACATTGCCATGCTCACCCAGAATGCCATGGTGCACCGTGTTGTGCCCTTGGGTGCCACGGTGCTAGTGTCGCAGCTGCATACTTTTACACTTGCGCAGCTTACGTACAATAATACGATTGCGGGACAGTGGCTACCGGCGGAAATGGCAAACAATCCTGTCATGTATGAGGGGGTTGTCTAGATGGAATATCGGCGTCGTTGGCAAGGACATTACAGGAACTTGGAGCGGCGATGGCCCGGCGTACAATAATAGGGTTATTTTGGGAGCTGTACATAGTCATAAACCATGTGTGGGGGGAGCCTGCGCCTATCACTCCAAGAATTTCTTTGAAAAAAAAAAAATTAGATTGACAGCGCAACACGAACTTTAAGAGTAAGGGTGGAGCGGTTGGCCGAGAGCATAAGCCAAAGTGAGGCTTGGCAGCCAACACTTGTGCATACTAGGGGTCCAACAACGCGACTCCGAATGCCTGGGCCCATAGCACAGACCTATATAATTTTACGGGCCTAGGATTTCGGAGCGCCGTTGCGGGCCGGGAGATAGGCTGCGAGGCGGTTAATGCTGTCATTCGAGTCCGTGCGCCAGCGCACAATCCAGCCAATTGGTCTTTGTCCCGCGGCACTATATCTTACAGGCCGGCTTCTGGCTTCCGATTAACCCCACTATCGTCAGTTGAGTCAGTTGTGGTCGCCATTCTAATGTACGCGCTGTCGCCCGGCTCATTTTTTCTATTTTCCATCTCAGATTGCCTTTTCCTGTTGCCTCTCTCTAAAGTTTTCTGCTTCGTGATGGTCAGCTATTCTTATCGCAGCCCGCAACGCAGACATCTTAGCCGCCTCTCCTCTTATAGTCACCACATTAAGATATAGAGAGCATAGCCGCGTTTATCCCGTATAGCAATCAATCTCCTCTCGATTCATCCCAAATTATTGTATGTGGAGTCGCACTTTTCACCTGCGCGGCAAACGTTATCGTGGGATAGAGAGAGCATGACTTGCGACAACTTGCAAAGGTGGAGTGCGTGGGCAACTAGATACGCAAGGATATCATTGCCCCCAAGTCTCACGGACAGGGGCATCTTTTCGAGCGTTGTTGATGAGTTTGGCATTAACACAGAGGCGGGAGACTTTCTAGATTAGGTCAGCGTCACATTCATCGACAACTGCTATTTATAGACCCAGCTTATCTTGGATATCAGCCTTAGTAAAGTGGGCTTTCTCAGTCGCGACTAATCCTCGGCCAACTTGGTAAGGAGTTAGTCATAGGCAACACATGGATGTGGCTATATGTATATTATTCTAGATACATTATATCCAATCATCATCTCAAGCTCATTTGCATACAGATATATGGCCTCGCATATTGGTGGATATTGATTTACGCAAGTCTGGGTCTTGTTTTCTGCAATGGACTACCGCATTCGTCGCGTGTGGGCTTTACGAGTCGTGAACCGCGGCTAGTCCGAGCAGGATACGGGATAATACTTAAATGACCATATCGCGCACGTATCCTACTCGAGCACGTGCACTATAAATGCCTGGCAATAAGATGATCCCTTGGCAACGTTGTTTCTGTTTGAACGAAAATCCCTTTTTCGTGCCCTATATTGACAGGAAAAACGGTTGGTAATATATTCTTTCACACTATTAGACACACTGCCCGAAGCTTCTGACACACGAGTAGTAATAATTTTCTGAAATGTTCGAGTTTCCGACTAGACTTGTGATAATGTCGGTCACGAGTTGTTCTAGGCTTATTAGCTAAATTACTTGTACATGTTCTATAGCAGCCTTGACCTCTTGCTAGCCTATCAACGGTCACCCTCCTACTCCTGATCCTATCCTCGCTAGTTATGCTGTGAAGATTAAAATGTGTTTCTTCGGTTTCTAACTTGATAATCTTAGTAGGGGTGTATTCCGACTGCTGCCTATAGAGCCAGCCACACGAGTAGTTTGCCTGGTCCCCTCGGAGCCCGTTCAGCAGTGGGGTGCTGCCACATTTTGATGCCTGATTAGGTCTATTCAGCGGACGACAAGGGACCAGGGTGCATCGTAACAACTTAGCGCTCATGCTGGTAGAACGAATATGCCCTATTCGGAAACTATATCGAGTCAGTACGTCGGCAGGAATATGGGGAGCAGCTTGTTACCATGGTCGGTCTGGGAGCACAGCAGAACCATCGGCAGCTGGAAGTAAGCGAGAACAATGGCCGCCTGTGGCGCTTTCGCCGGTGTATTTTGAAAAGCAAATATATAGCTGTACATGTATATATATATCTATGTATAAGACCTCGTCGCTTAACTTCTAGGAATAGTTCTTCATACTTGAGCAATAGTCAACTATTATTCATTCATTGCAAAGCAAAAACACATTTATTATTCCTCACTCACTTGTCTTTTATAGCCGTAGTTGTTAATTTTCTAGGTACCGCTCAGCCGCCACAATATTTCAGTCAAGGATTGCGCCCGTTGACTCCAACAAATGAGGAAACCATCTCTTGGCCCTGTCCTTGAATACCTCGTATCCAGCACCCGCCCGCAGAACGCGCATGTTTTCGACGTCAAAGTTGATGCCTCCGCAGCCATACGTGTGCCATTTTTGCAAGCCGTAATCAACCACCAGATCGACGGGGCCAAGCACGGATGGTTCAATGTCTTCAATACGGAACCGTTGCCCTTGCCCAGTGGCGTTGGCAGAGGTCCCAAATATCAGCATGCCGTCTGGATCGGCATCACAGAGCCTGCCAAGCTCCCGCAAAAACGGCCCCTCTGGAATCGCGATGCTGACTGTGTCTCCCTTGGTGACTTGTTGGAGCGTGGTCTTGTCCAGTGCTGCCAGTCGCGGGTGAAGGTTGACGGTATCGAATTTGGCAATGATTCCAACAATCATGCCCATATCTTCCGTCAAAGCCCGAGTAAACTGGAATTTGACGTCTGGCAGCACGTGAATCTGTCGGTGCTGCTGGTACGTCCCAATGATGCCAATGTTGTGGCTCTTTTCGCGGCCTTTGGCTGCAAAGATTTTCTGAACACCGGCTTGCGTGCTGGCCAGGAGCGCATAGCCCACGTCGGTTGGGACAATGACAGCTCCGCCCAATTTGAGTGTTTGGAAAGCTCGGAGGGCATCGCGAGAAATATCTGGCACGTCGCCTGCTGCCGGAACAATTTTCGGAGGCATATTTGGGATGATGTAAGTGCAAGCTATTAGTCAAGAGAAATACAGAATTGGGTTTGCGTTGGCAAATCGAAAAAAAGTTGCTGGCGTTAACGGACAAGATGACGGTATAAGTACGTAGCGTGAAGCGGGTAAATAATGGACTTAATTAAACTTTGCCCGAACTCCGATAAATTTGCCAGAAAAATTACGCCCGACATGTTCACCACGTGATAAACCAATTTAGGCGAAGAAGTGTCAGAGGAATACTGATCCGTCGCTCAACTCCGATGGCCGCGGTTCGAACTCTGAACTCCGCCGTCAAGTCCGGAGCAGTAAACTCGTCAGAAATCCTGGCCACTAGAAACAACTATTTAATACCATTGTCGCACTCACCATGTTAGCCATATCAAATTTCAGTTATGGGGAATTCAGTCATGGAGAGTCTCAATATTATACTTCGTGACAGCGTTTGCGGTCGGCTGCTCAACCATTTGTCGAACGGACGGTTCTTCTCCTACCATGTATCCCAAACCCTCAAGATTGAGGATGGCCCGAGTCAAGACCCTCAGCAGCGGATCATGGTAGCTTTCGTCGGTCCTGATGATTCGGACATCCCTCATAACTGGCCGACGCTGGCAAGGATGGTCGCGGGATTCAACGTCATGCTATTGAACTTTAGCTTCTATGCAGCATCGGCAATCTTTACTCCAAGCATTTTGGGTATCCAGGAGGCATTCCAGGCTACCACTGCGGAGGGCACACTGGGGCTTTCACTCTTTGTAATTGCGTATGGAATTGGGCCTCTGATTGTATGTTGGCGCTTTGAGAAAGCCATGGCTGTGCTAACCACTGATATCTCTAGCTTTCGCCGCTGTCGAGCCTACCAACACTTGGCCGATCGCCTGTATATGTCCTCGGCAGCCTTGCTTTCTGCTTGCTCAACATCGGGACGGCTCTGGCAAAGAATATACAAACGGTTTTGGTACTGCGCTTCTTGGGGGGATTCGTCGGAAGCGCACCTATCAGTGTCGGCGGAGCCTCGCTGATGGAGATTTTCAAGCCGAATGAGGTTCCCTACGCAATTGCACTGTACGCAGTCAGTGGAGTCTGCGGACCTATACTAGGACCGGTATGTCTATCCATATGAATGTGAGATGACTTCTATGGCTTGTGCTAATTTTCCCTAAACCAGATTCTTGGAACCCTTGCAATGTTCGTCACCAGCCCTCTTGAACCGTTGAATATTAACTGACCGCCAACATGTAGAAAGCGCTGGAAATCTTGGACAGCAACACTCTGGCTCTTGTCTGGTATCACGGCTTTCACCACCGTATCAACCTTCTTTCTTCTACCCGAGACCTTATCCTCGAATATTCTTCTACGACGAGCAAAGCGCCTTCGCGCACAGACGGGAAACACTGCCTATCAGAGTGAGACCGAAATTCAACCAAGCGAAAACCTCGCTGTACGCATTGTCAAGGATATTGGCAACGATCTCAAACTTGCCTGTATGGACCCAGTAATCTTGTTTGTTAACCTGCACACAATGCTCGTTTACGGTATTTTGTACCTTTGGTTTGAGTTATTCCCATTTGGTAAGTTGGGACCTGCTAGATGTATTTCGACCATGTTGTACTGATATTGATCCTCTAGTCTTCGACGGCATCTATCATTTCACCCCAATCCAGCAAGGCCGTGAGTTTTTCTTCCGTCAGGTTGCACCAATACCGAGCTAATGTTCTTTTTCCAGTTGCTTTTTTTGGTATTCTCGTCGGAGCAGCGGTTTCGGTCGCTGCATACATTCTGTGGTTATATGTTTCCTATCAGCCACGAGTGGCTGATGTAAATGTCGTGGTTGAGCCAGAGGCTCGTCTCATACCGGGACAAATAGGAGCGATATGTATTCCAGTCTGCCTTTTCATCTTTGCGTGGACATCCAGAGAAAGGTAAGCCATCTCCGACTTCAATTGATCACGGCATAAAAGTTTTAACGTCCTGCACAGTGTACATTGGATCGTCCCGATCATTGGCACAGCCTTTTTTGCACCCGGCTTTTACCTTACTTTTCAATCCATTCTCAATTACCTCGGCGAATCCTATCCGCGCCATGTCGCAAGCGTATTTGCTGGTAACACCTTCTTTCGGAGCTCGTTTGGAGGAGCACTACCATTGGCTGCACCTCGCATGTTGAATTCACTTGGAATTGGGTGGGCCTCGAGCACGCTTGGGTTCATCTCTGTTGCGATGGTGCCTTTGCCTTTCATTTTACACCGAGTGAGTTTGTCGCCGTGTTGCAACCCATTGAGCTGATAAAAAATGACGATCATCTGCTAATCAGAAATTAGTATGGCAAGAGACTGCGTTCTTGGAGCCAATTTGCGAACTAGGGAACGATTCGCAAGGTTGGTTCCCCTTTCTTTCTCATCTCCTACGCTATCAGCTCACCAGGCTTTCCAGAGTTATAGAGACCTGCAGGGGAGCGGCACCAGCAGTTAAGCAAGTTCACACCTATTAACACGGGGGACTTTTTAGTGCTCCATTTTTTTCTAGGCTATTAAGCTCAAATATGCCCCCCATTTTCAACAACTTGCGGCCATAGATTAGCTGGGAGATCGTCAGACTGAAGTCCAACTTCAATCCTACGGATTTAGATACCTATCTGAAGGTCGTGTGTTCGAGTCACACTGGCCGCAGTTTTGTTTTTGCTTTTTAAACCTAATTCTCATTCTTTTTAATCTCTGTCTGCTCTGACTCTTTTGTGATCAATCTCAATTGAAAATAATTATCACCAGCCTTGGTTTCAATTCCCTACTTGACTCTCGTTTCTCGTTAGGTTAATATTGCGCTTTCTTCCGTAGTTTACTCTATTTACCCGCGCCCGACTTCTTTGCCTCTCTTCCCTTCTTTTTGTTACCATAGCTATTCTTATTCTTGCTGCCCTTAAAAGTCACAGTCACTCACATTCTTGTCAAGTTCACGTTGAAGCTGCCGGCAAAAGATCGCATGCGCCTCGTTCTGAGACTTCTTGACGCTGGGTCGCTAGCCCCACTGCAGCTTTTTGTGATGCATCAAAAGGTAGCTTGACCTGCCGAGAGTCGGCGCCCGCATTCCTCGACAATTGATTTTCCAGACGAGCGAAGAGCCTTTGATATCTGTTCTCGATTCATCCCGTTTTGCAGTCTCGAAATGGCGCATCTGACAAATCCCCTCGCGACGGCAGAACAGCTCTACCGCCGCTCTACCTTTTCGCCTCTTCCGCAGGACCTCCAGGAAGCCGTCTTTTTCGTGACACAATGCCTCACGCAAGCAGCTGGCCTGCTACTGGAGCTTCCACAGTCTATTACAGCACAGGCCAATGTGATACTGGCGCGTTTCTGGCTGGTAGACTCCCCAATGGCACACGAGTTTAGCGTAAGTACCACACATTGGGTTGGCAGCGTGATCGCGGCTGGACATGCTAACGCTATACAGCACGTCTCGGCCGCCTCTTTATATCTCGTTGCAAAGACGGGATCGCTCCCTCGCTCGCCTCGCGATGTATCGACCGTCTACGCGTATCTGCTGTCGCCAAACTCGACCTTCCTCAAAACGCCCAGCCCTGCGACAGCGACCAACGATCCTGCCTCCTACTACCAGACCGAGGACCAATATTACAAGTTTCAGAAAGCCATGCTCGAGCTGGAGGCTCGCATATTGTATTCTCTCTCATTCAACGTGCACGTCGCGCTGCCCCATGGCCTCGCGGTGACATACCTCCAGACTCTCGATTTCCTCTCGCATTCGCGACACGAAATCTCTCTCAGAGCATCGCAGTACCTCAATACCGCGCTGCTGAGTCCTCAATTACTATACCTCACACATCAACCGCACGCTCTTGCTACGGCAGCGATATACAATGCGGCGCGTGACTTGGGGGCCTCGATGCCAGAGTGCGCCTGGTGGGAGGTTTTTGACGTGGAGCGCGAGGAGCTGGGCTTTCTCGTAGTCGGAATGCGCAGTCTGGAAGGCTGGATCAAGACTCGAAGAAAAGAACTGCCCTCGATACTGGGACAAGGCATGCCTCGCAGGAAAGACGTGGAGGCAGAGATGAAACAGAGAGGGGACGATGCAGATGACACGGAAGAACAGGTCATGAGAACGTTGGACGATAAGCAATGAGATGGACAATACCCGAAGAAGACCCTCGTTGAAACTTTGAAATACATGCATTGGCAAGAGCCGCCAATTTCACGAATTCTGCGCGCTGCACAAGACGCCCTCGCACCTCACAGGCGTCTCCAGTCGTTCAAAAATTCGATACATTAACGAGGTATTAATCTGCTATCGCCGACATACTGTGCGCGAAACACCGAGATACGAGATCATCAGAATCTGCTTCTTTACCCCCTGCTTGACCCATGGATCGCCCGCGATCGCCTTTTCTTTCGGGCCATCTGTCCCACTCTCACTACCTTCCTGACTTCTGCACCTGCTCTCCCCGTCGAGCTGCGATCGATGAGCACTCCAACGTTGCTTCCGCTTTCGGCCACTTGTCTTCGATTCCTGAATATCTCATCCCATCAAATACTTCTTCGCCGTCACCACACCGACGAAGAAGAAAAAAGCAACAGCTATAAATGCCCAATTAGTGGTCTCGCTCACGTCGCTGCAACCATGTTGCTCAACTGTGATAGTACGCCGTCATTATTGGAATGTAACAATGTGGCTGTTGGATGAGTACAGAGACGCCGCAGGACTCAACATCGCCAAGCTGCGCAGGCCAGGATCATGACAATGGAGAAAATCTCGTCGCGGCTGAGACATGATTTCGCACGCATGAACGACTAGAACGAGCGCTCCCCAGCTAAACTATTCCGTAAAGGCGGCCAAGAAATCCTTCGGGGTATGGCAGCGAAGCAACATGCTCGCCACGCTCGATATCACCACAATTGGTCGCGCCGACTGCCGTGCCCAAGGCAAATGTATCTGCCAGCAGAGACTATGGTTGCCCGTGCGTCATCGCCGACGATTAATGCATTTGCCTATCTGGTTCAGAAAGCGCGCGCCGCAAGCACTACTACCACGCCCGCTGCTGCAGCGGCATCCTGGATCATTCCAACATAGGGGCTGTATCAACACGGTCAGCATCGTAGCGCCTATGGCGCAGATGGACGCGTACGACGGGGTCGGGCAAAACCACGCTGTCGAGGATAGAGAGTTCCAACTGGCACACAGCGCTTCTTGCGCCGGCAACGCAAAAGAACAATGCTGCTGGTGTCCTCAAAAGACCAGCACCCCCTCCGAGGCCGGCATCGAGGACCTTTTCCACCGCTGCTCGCGATGACTTCTGGAATCTCTCAGATGTTTTGCCCCGGGCTGCCGGCATCTGCCTGTTGACTTCCATGGATCTTAACACAGGCGTCTTATTGACGGTCATATTCAAGACACAGGCCCATCATAAGCACCTACCAAGTGGTTTGCTCCCAACGGTCGGTCATCGTGATGTACTTTAGCAGCCAGCGCTTCGTATATCGGCCTCCGAAAGCGGCATTCCATTCCAAAAATAGCCATCATCTCCGCCCGAGCTAAACACACATTTGCGGTGATTCTGCAGGTTGTTGCGTAAAGTGCGGGGTTGGGAGTTGCTGCAGGTGCGATTAGGCTGGGCCTCGCGGCGTCTCATTTGCAACCTTATCGTTCAAACCTTCTCTATCGGACATAGACGACCTTGCTCGGCTGAGAGGATTTATCAAAAGATGAAAGAAGTCTTTCGAGAGGATAGTAACGGGCCCAACACTAGGCCGAGCGCAGCGATCACGCAGCAGACAATTTGGGAACCGGTCGATCTTCCTGTGGCTGCCGGAGCTGCGGTAGTTGCAACACAGCCATGCAACAATCGTGACAGCATTTCAGAGAATCTATGGGCAGATGCGTACAAGATGCTTCGGGAGAGGGACAAGGATCTCGTTGACGAGTTTGAGAAGGCATTGGGCAGCTCTTCGGACAGCGTGGGAGAGTCGCTCTCGAACCCCGAGTCGGTCACGAAACTAGTCGAGCGCTTACGCAAAGAGCATGACGGGAAGAAGTTGACATTCAGATATGGAGGGGAAGAGCGCAGATATCGCGATCAGTTCAACAAGATTGTGAAGTTGGCTATATTCGCCGATTCGTTGATCAAGCAGGCACTTGCTACGCAGCCGCATGCTGCTTTGGCATGGACTGGAATGTCAATATTACTTCCTGTGAGTTACACAATAATTGCATACACTTTCAAAATATTCTTGTCATGTATTGACTGAGGTTCAGTTGCTATCTTCCGCATTGACAAAGGAGGCGGCCTTGGTCAAGGGTCTCGCAGCAGTTGGACACGTACAACTGTACTGGAAGTCATGCGAAGATACATATCTCAAGCCTTCCACTGCCAGTAACTTTGAGAACATATTGAGACAGCTGCCGACGGTGTATTCGCACATCCTGGAGTATCATTTCCACGCAATCTGCTACCTAGCCAAAGATAGAAAGCGTCGCGTCTTGCAGGTGACCACGGGTTGGACTTCGTGGAGTGACAAAGCAGATGAGGTTGAAAAAGAGAGCGATTTTTGCAAGAATCTTCTGCAGCCAGCGCACCATACCTCCCTTGAAAGCGTGAATGAGGCCAAGCTACAAAGGATGGATGGCTTGCTCAAGGCCAACCTCGACATTGCAAAGGTGATGAAGGAGAACAGGGCTGAAGATATGGAAATACAAATTTGTGAAAACCTCAAGAGAGTTGCGGGGAAGTACGAAACTGGTAAAGACGGTAACCTTAAACACGTCGAAGGTACTTGTGAGTGGTTTTTCGGCAACAATGACTTCTGCGATTGGCGAGACGGCACAGACAGCGGTCTATTCTGGGTATCGGCAGATCCTGGATGTGGCAAATCTGTTCTATCACGGGCGCTGATTGACCATGGGCACCTCAAGAGCACCGTTTCAACCTTTGACATGACGTCGCCGGGAGCTACAGTGCAGGAAAGAGACAACATCGTCTGCTACTTCTTTTTCAAGGAGGATGTTCAAGGACGAACCAGGCTAGTGAATGCTTTTTCTGCCATCCTTCACGAGCTATTTGCCCAGGATACAACAAACCAGCTCATCCAGCATGCAGTGGTCCATCACAAGCTCAACGCCAAATTTATCTCCGAAGAGTTCATACTTCTCTGGAACATCTTGGTCGCATGCTCGTCGTCCTACTCAGGCGAGGGCGTTATTTGCGTTTTGGATGCACTGGATGAGTGTGAGCGGGAAGATCCGAATTTACTCATGGAGAAGCTGCAATGCTATTATGCCGCCAGCCAGGGAGAGCAAAAGCTCAAGTTCTTCATAACAAGCCGGCCTTATAAAACAATCACGCGGCTATTCGACCGCTTTTCAAAGAGGGCCAAGCTGCTTCACCTTGACGGCGACGACAAGCATGATGAAGTTAGTCGTGACATGGATCTTGTCATCGATGCTCGGCTTGATGATATCACAGAGTATTTCTCGCAAGAAGACCGCTTGAAAGTACGGGAGCGCCTCAGAGGGCAGGATTCCAAGACGTATCTCTGGCTACATCTGACATTCAACATAATCCAAAACAGCCCCAGCAAGTATAGTCGCAGCTGGGATGTGGATGAGCTTCTGTCCAGTATTCCACCAGAGGTCTCACAGGCTTACGAGAAGATTCTTGATCGAAGCGACGATGAGGAAAAGACACTCATCCTGTTACAACTTGTCTTGGTTGCCGAAACACCATTGACCCTGGCCGAGGCAAATTATGCGTTGACCCTCGCAGGTGCTTCGACAAAGCCGCAGAAGCACGACGATCTGACGGCGAGGTGCTACGGGGCTGATTTTAGATCAACAGTAAAGAGTCTTTGCGGGCTCATCATCACAATTCACGATGACTGCCTGCATTTCATCCATTTGACCGCGCGCGAGTTTCTGATGTCCGACAAGCCAGAGACTGGCTTGAAGTGGAAGGGTCGCTTTGCTTTGGGGCCAGGACTGCACGAAGAAATGTCTCGCTGCTGTATTTCATACCTACTTTTGGACGATTGGATTGAAATCGCAGCCGAAACAGTGACTTTTCAAAAAGAACAGGACCAAGAGAAAAGGTTTCCGCTGTTGAACTATGCCTCACGAAACTGGAGCCATCACTTCGGTCAATTAAGCGAGAGTATGCGCACGCCCATCAAGAAAGATGCCCGACGTCTACTAGACGCTGGCGGACCCTACATCAAACTCTGGGGGCGCCGATTTCTGTCTGAGAACTCATTTCTTGGGGCTGATGATTTCAACGGCTGGACTGACCTCGCCATTGCTAGTCTCCTTGGTCTACATGACATGGTCGAGGGGATGCTGGTATATGAAAAAGTCGGCGTCGACCCATCCGACGGTATAGGTTGGAGTGCATTGCACGCTGCTATACGTGGAAAATATGAAAGTATAGCAGAGTTACTTCTCTCTCATGGAGCTGACGTTCGTGGCAGAGGATCAAAAGGCGGCCCGCCACTTGATATCGCCATATTTTACGCGGACTTGAGTCTCGTGCGGCTTTTACTGTCTTATGGCGCAGATCCCTACGACCCTATTCCTCGTATGTTTAATATCCAGGATTCCGTCGAGCTGGCGGCCCAGACTGGCGAGATTGAGGTCTTCCGGGCCGTGGTCGGCAGCGGCATCGATTGGAGTACTGAGCAAGGCTTGAAACAAGCCGTCGCAGACATGGCCAAAAGGGATACTGAGCGACGTAGGAACCGAGTCATACCACGCCAATTTGACCTGAAAATGTTTGTAGAGGCCATAAATTCATCGCATCCTCTCACGCAGAGCGTGGTGGACACTTTGATGGAGTGTATTGAAGATGTTGATTGTTGTTATGCATTGCTGGACAAAGGTCGTGCATCGCAAACCGGGAGAAATAATCGTTAGGCCGCAGTTGCTCCAGTCCGCGCTCTCCTCCATTCCATCCAATGGGAATTGTGATTTGGCGTTATTCTCTCAGCTGTTGCAGAACAAAGACGGATTCGGAGCCTCCGTAACGGAGCAAATCCTCTGTTCCCTCGCTGAAAGCCACTCTACAGAAGCTTTGGCGTTGTTTCTGAACCACTACACTGGACCCAACATCACTGCCGAGCTGCTCATGAGAGCTTTCACCGACAATGATTTACGAACACCGACCAGTAAAGTTCAACATTTGCTGAAACATGGCGGTGAAAATGTTCAGGTCGACGAGCGGCTACTATGGGCAGCCGCTTGCGCACGCGGATCGAAACCGCTCGCAAGCCTACTCGAGAACCAGCGAGTTAAGACGCAAATGACGCCACGGGTAATGCAGGCGGCGATTGAAAGGTGCGATGCATTTGCGTTGGCGAAGTTGGAGTTGGTTCTGAAACTCTTGGGATCACGGGGAGCAGGCAATCAGGAGTTTTTCGCCTCTGTGGTCGCTAGTGGTAGCAGAGACTTCATCGAAAGATTTTTGGAATACGTCGACTGTGCCCTGGTTCCATCGGAAAACGTTCTTTGCTGCGCCGAAGCCAATGACTCGGCGGTGCTCTCTTTCCTGATGGAGCGTTTTGGCAAGAAGATAACCATAACGTCGAAGGTTGTTATGGCCGCGGCTAGAAGCATCAAGGGAAGTGAAAGTTGGTCCGATACTACCCTGGCTTTGCTACTAGACAAGAGAAACGACGAGGTTGTCCTTACATCGGAACTCCTTCGGGCCACTGCATTGTATATGGTGCCTACCGGATGGCTAGAGATGTTCTCCAAGTGGAAACATGAAGAGCTAAGGCGACAAGCACCACTCGTTCTTTTGCTCGCTGTCGATAAGTTGTTCCGACAGTCAGATATACAGCTACTCGCAGATAGCGAATTTATTACGGCAGGCCTGATTACAGAAGAGGTCCTTACAGCCACCGTGAAGAGCACGTGTGCGGCGGGTATTGACATGCTCAAGTATATTTTGACCAAGTACGAGGACGAGGTCAAGATCCCTCAGACACTGCTGGAGAAGCTGGTGGGATACGACCACAGCCACGAGGTGGACCTGCTCGAGTATCTTATCAAGCAGCGGCCAGACGACTTCCGCGTTACGCGAGACGCGATGAGCGCAGCGGCCAGGAACGGACGGGGCGATTTCTTGGAATACCTATGTACCCACAGCCACGATGACGACGTGGGTGGACTTGAACCTCAGTGGGCTTTGATGGCTCAACTTCGCTCGGCAGCGAGGACAGGCAATCTCGAGGACACCAAGGTGGCCGTGGAGCGCGGGGCGGATATCAACTCACGCAGCATGAACGGAAAGACAGCCTTGCACGAAGCAGCCTACGGGGGCCATTCCGATGTTATCGAGTTCCTGGTGGCCAGGCCAGACGTGGATGTCAATACTTTTGACGAATTCGGCAATACGCCCCTGCACGACTGTTACTGGATACGACATGAAGAACCGGCTCGCAAGCTCTTGTCCGGGGGGGCAACGGACCCGAACCTGGCCGATGCGAGAGGCAGAACACCCTTGCACATGGCCGTTTACCAAAATCGTCTTGGTCTGCTATAAATGCTGATTGAGGCCGGAGGAGATGTGGACAGAGCCGACGACGACGGGATTACGCCGCGCATGCTTGCAGAGACATGGGCGGAGCGGGGATACTGGTATCCTTGGAAGGTGATTGAAAGGTGGTGAATTGTTGTGTTCATTCCGCCTGTATGAATCTTCCATCCACGGTCTCCAGCTGAAACATACTACCAGGCAAGTTGAATACAGGGATCTTAATTATTGAAGAGTCATCTGACAGCGCTGGCTACGCTGGATGATCTATGCCGTGGTAACGAAGTATCTTTCTTCCGGCTTCCATGCCACCTGTCAGCACCAGAAACCTGCGAGATAGGCCTCGCATGGGAACACGGCCCTCCCGGGACATGTCTTGCTCGAATTGTGAGTGCAGGGTCGAAAACGTGTTTGGCGCCATATGAGTGCACGAACTCGGACGGCAGCCCGGCCGACCAGGCACAGGCGTAGGCACGCTGCAGTTGGAGATGGCTGTGTCGCACTAAAAAAAAAAAAAAACACAAAAAGCAGACACCTGTAGCGGACATTGCTCTATGGTTGCTGATAACTCTGACAGCTAAACTCTGCTCCGTTGACTCCTCCGGGCACATGGTGAACGTCAAGCCCCAGTCGGGTATTTTCTAGAGGCGGTAAGGATGCGTTGCAGGTACACGGCAGGCAATACTTTGGTAATTCAGCCAGTCTTTATCTATTACTTATAAAGGTTTAAGGCGTATCAATTGACTCCAAAAGGGTAAATTTAGATTGTCATTATAAGGCTGTTCCAGCTCTACTATAGGTTGCGTAGCTGAAAGGCCTCAAATAAAAGCAAGATTAATTAGTCTGATTATTAGCTATAACATTATTCATTCAACACTATTACTTAAGAATATTATAATTAAAAAAAAAGGTACTCTTCGATAGTCGAGATACGTAGAAATGGTGTCGATTCTTTGGCTTTCACCACCGACGAATTTCATTACACTTACTTGCCCCTTATTATGCCGAAACTCCCGTAGTACCTGTGATGGCGCCTGCCAAGGCATACAAGGCGGACGTCATGCCACTCAGAGCTCCCAGAAGCCCAGTCTGAGGAGCGGCCACTGCTGCGACCGTGCTCGCTGTTGCGGGAATCACGTAGCTCGTGGTATTCAAACCGCCTTGGGCATTATTCGCAGCCTGTGGCGCCACGGCAGCTACCGCCGCAACGCCTTGGACATTTGCATCTTGCGGTGCCGCTCCAGCAGCAGCTGCTGGGCCTCGGTTCGGGGATAGATTGCCGTTGAAAGCCGAGATGTCATGGGTTTGAGCGCCGAGGACGTTGATTGGAAAGTTGAGCGTGTTGCCGTTGGCACTA